TATTTAGAAATAATATTTTTTAAATGAATGTTGGATTGGATATTGTAGAATACAGAGGGAAAACACAAAAAAAGACCATTAAGCTTCTAGCTTATTTACCTGAATGGTTAGCAGTACCATTTTCTAAGACATGTTTTCTCTGAAGTATCCATACACTGCTGTCAAGTGAGGTATGGACTTTCAGAGGTAAAATCTGGGACAGGCTCTAAAACTGGAAATCACTAGTTTTTTAGTAGAGAAATGGTGTTTAGAGCTTAGAGAATATGTACATGTATAGAGAGCAGAGATAAGGATGACACCCAAAGAAATATCAATATTTAGTAGTCATGAGTAGAAGAATAGAAACACATTGTTCTATTATTGGTAGGGAAATAGACCTTAGGATATTTGCAAGGGAGGGCTACAGATGAACCATGACATCTGAACTCAAAACAGTGGAAAATGAAGACAGCAGAGTACAAATGAATTGTGAAGGGACAACAAAAGCTGTGGCCTAGGATGAATGTCAATGCAGATGAAGAATCGTAGGAATGAGGATACCTGAGCAAATGAATTAAAAGAGGACTGATGTCCAGACGGTGGAATGTTTGCCATTAAGATCTTGATGGTACACATACTGGTATAGAAAAGGTAGATTTGCAGCGCCTGGGCGACTCAGTTGCTAAGCATCTGCCTTCGGCTCAGGTCATGATCCCAGGGTCCTGGGATCGAGTCCCACATCGGGCTCCCTGCTCCGCGGGAAGCCTGCTTCTCCCTCTCCCACTCCCCCTGCTTGTGTTCTCCCTCTCACTGTGTCTCTCCGTCAAATAAATAAAATCTTTAAAAAAGAAAAAAGAAAAGGTAGATTTGACCATGAAGTGGTAAATAAAGTGGAGGAAGGGAAAAAAGCAATGGAGATAAGGATGTCAAGAAGTGGAGTGAAGAGGGGACTTTGATGGTCCTTCCATCTGGATGTTGAAGTCATTGAAAATGACAATAGGACTTAGCTGAAAAAGATTTTGAAAAAGGATCTAAAGCCTTAAATAAATCAAAAGAGTGACCAGGAGATCTGTTGATATCAACAAGACAAAAAGAACATGACCAATATTTTCAAAGCATTTTTGTTTCAAAGGAACAGTAAGACTTGCAACAGGGAGAAAAATTAGCAATATGAAAGCTATTGTGAAGAACAAGAACTACTTCTGGACGTAAGGCATGTGGAGGGTAAGAAAAGACCAATCTCTATTTGTGAAGGCGACAGGGAAAGTTATCCCTTGGTAACAACCAAGTTTCATTTCAAGAGAATTAAAAAGGCAATGTTGAACTTAGCAACAATCACTTTTAACCATCTCCAGTAGCTTAGTATACTACATAAAATTAATATTTAACACAAAGGTATAAATTCCATGTCATAACATCTCAAAATCGACCAAACCAGATAATTCCTTTCTAAGTTTCTCCTTATACTAGGCAATTACTTTGTCTTATTCAGTAAACAGTATTAGTGCACTAAAACACACACACACACACACACACACATAAAGTGTACATGTCTTATTTAGCTGAAGATCTCATTTTGAAGGGACATTCAAAGTAAACAAATCATTCCATAATCTTCAAGTATGGACATTTTGAGGAATTACAACATGGCTTTTTATAAAAGAAGTTAACCTGAGTACAAGAAAACAGAAAAAAAGTCCAGCTCTGGAAGCCAACTTAGCTGAGTCATCCTTTGCCACCAGCAAGGCATCAAAAAAGTAATACAGGGCTAGCAGAGAATTTTAAAGGAAGTGGAAGTCACCTATCTGTGAGGTTCAACTCTTAAATGCCTGGTCAAGATATAACATCTGGAGGAGAGTTCAACTTTTATAAAGATGAATACTTGTTAAACTAAAAGATCTACTTAAGGAGAAATAGGAAGATATAGTGTCTATACTACTGGATAGATGTAACTTGCTTTCTACGAAAATAGCTTGCACTTTGTTTTCTTTGACAAAGATAACTTAGAAATAAAAACCATTAAATTAGAAAAAAAAAAAGCTATGAGATGTGCATTTGCCAAAGATCTTCAGCAACTGCACTATCTTCCCACTGTAGACTTCAAGCAAGACAAATATATAGCATTGTACTTCAGGGCAAGCTATAATGAGTGAAAAAAAATGAGAATTTGTTAAATCAATATAGAATGCTCCTTGCTTTCCATAGTTCTGAGTGTCTATAGTCTAGAAGTCCAAGTAATCAATCTCTGCTACATGTAACCATCATGGCATTCCGGAAATTCCACAGGACACTCTTTACATGTGGATTTGGAAAAGAGAACAGTAAAAAAAAAAATGCTTTGTTGTGCTCTGTACTCTACGGCAACATGCATTTTGTGCTACATGCTAGTGTTAGATTGTGATTGCCCAAACCTCTGTGTGGAAGAGGTAGTTTAGTGAGCAATAGTCTTGAAGTTAATAAGCCTGACACTGGTTGGCTCAGTTACTAATTGGGTAAATGACTTTGCATTAGTTATTTAACCTCTCTAAGATAAATTATCTTCAGTGCATAATTGAAGAGGCTGGATTCCTTCCACAGGTGACATTTATGTTGATTTCAGTTGGCTTATATCCTGCTAAACTGTAAATTGGACAACATAGAACTTTTTTCTAGACTTCACAATTCCACAAGACCCTTACACTTGTCTTTCCTAATTCAGCAGGAATTATCTGAACTAAATGAATTTATGTAGGGCTTATTATTTTAATATATAAGCTACATCCAAGTAGTTCCCATGAAGTTCTAAGCTCGTTAAAGGGCCTTGATATGGAATATAGAGAAGATGGTCACCTCCCTTCATTCCCATCTTCCAGCTTTCTTCAATGTCTTGAAGTTTAGTTACACTCAAAAATTAGAATCCCGAGAGAGCTAACCTAAATGAGAAATCAGGCTAATTTCTCAATAAAAGTGTTCTAGAATAATAAATGCATTTCTGGTCAAAGCACTGGGATTCTGGAAATAACAATTTTCCTAATGAGGCACAGGAACTGTGACTGTAAAAAGTTGGTATATGATATCTGCCAAGTTCAAATGAGCTTCATTTTTAAGGGCCTTCTTCTAGGGCCAAGTTTAATGACTCAAATTAGTGAACTTAGAAATTGTTTTAAAACGCTTGATGGAGACATTTCAAAGTATGATCTGGGATTTATCGCTCTTACTTTTGCTGAATTCGATGTGCCACCAAGATTTAATCAGATTAATCAAATACCATAAACTGAAACATACTGGGGCTCCTGGGTGGCTCAGTCGTTAAGCGTCTGCCTTCGGCTCAGGTCATGGTCCCAGGGTCCTGGGATTGAGCCCTACGTCGGGCTCCCTGTTCAGCGGGGAGCCTGCTTCTCCCTCTCCCACTCCCCCTGCTTGTGCTCTCTCTCTCTCTCTCTCTCTCGCTGTCTCCCTGTCAAATAAATAAATAAATAAAATCTTTTAAAAAATTGAAACATACTGTTCCTTACAATCACCTTAAGAACTTTTAAACAGCTCAAACCGAGAAGATACGCTTTTAGTAATAATTTACTTGAGTGCATAAGTTTTATTTAACATAGTTATTTAGAGACGTTTTTAACAAAGGAGATTTGCGAAATTACGGCATAATTTTTTTAAGAAATCTTCTAGAGGGTGTTACTTAAGTTACTATAGAGAATTTCAATTTATGAATCTGATGCCATTAATCATAAACTAAAGAAAAAGTAATTGCAAAACTTCACAAGAGGTAATATGTGTTATAAAGGTGTGTCATTAGTTTCAATTGGATATATTCCATACTACTGGGAAATGTTAAGAATTTCATTCCTTTATTCAGCAAAGCCTTTATTCCCTGGATGAACATCCTACTCCCCACAGACATAATGATCAACATATTTGTCAGATTTGTCTGCTGGTTTCCTGTAAGCAGTTTACAAAAGATAAAGGACAATAAAATGTAAAGGTGCACGATATTTAAAACTTTCATCAAGAGGAATATTCTCTGAGTTTTAAGAAAACATGTCTTAGGGTGCCTGGGTGGCTCAGTTGGTTAAGCGACTGCCTTTGGCTCAGGTCATGATCCTGGAGTCCCTGGATCGAGTCCCACATCGGGCTCCCTGCTCAGCAGGGAGTCTGCTTCTCCCTCTGACCCTCCCCCCTCTCATGTGCTCTCTCTCTCTCTCATTCTCGCTCTCTCAAATAAATAAATAAAATCTTAAAAAAAAAAAAGAAAACATGTCTTAGTTTTCTGACCTATTATCAAATTAGAGATGTTGAGGAAATTCAACCCTTCATAATTCTATTTTCTTTTAATCCTGTTGTTCTGGAAAACTGTCAGGTTCACCAACTGTAGAACTTTGCTTCTTCTCAGCAGCTTATCTATCACTTTTGTCACACTTTTCAACTGTTTCCACCACTGGACTATGTCTTTATTACTTAACATAATGTCCTATATCCACAGATGGTTGGTGAATGTACTATTAGAATGGACACTAGAAACTGGACTATCAGTGGGTTACCCTATTTCTCCCTATTCTGGTCTCCAAATAACTCAAGCTGGCCTCACAATCCTAACCCTTATCGGGGGCACTGGTCCAAAGGAATCTGGATTATGGTACTCTTAAACTAAAATTATTAATGATTTTACAGTGCCAGAAAGATTATAGGATCATCCAATACAACCCTGAATATACCATCCAAGCCTCACATAATCACTTATGATATTATCAGCCTTCAAAAGAACCACTTTTTTAAACCTACATATCATTTGTTTACATAAATAAAACAGTTCATCTTTCTACATTCTCACTATGCTGACATGAAGGACTTTCTTGTGAAAATTAATTCTCAATTCTTTCCCGAAATATCCACTCAGTTCTATAGCAACCATCTACAGCAAAATAAATAAATAAATAAATAAAATGTGGTTTAATTTAGTTTCTTATTGCTGCTATCACAAATTAACACAAACCCGGTGGCTTAAAACAACATAAATTTATTTTCTTATGGTTCTAAAGGTCCAGAAGTCCAAAATGAGTCTTAGTGGGCTAAAATCAAGTCATCATCCAGGCTGTGTTACTTCTAGAGGCCCCAGGGGAGAATCGTTCTAGAAGGTGAGTGTATCCTTTGTCACCATCCACAAAACTTACTACTCCAACCTCTCCTTCAGTCACCCCCATCTCCTTCTAGAATGATCTTTTGTCCTCCCTCTTTTATAGGGTCTCTTGTGATTATACTGGACAAACACAAATAATTAAAGATAAACTGTGCATTTTAAGGTCAGATGATTAAAAACTTTAATTCCACCTGCACCCTTAACTCCTCCTTGCTATATAATACAACATATTCTCAAGTACTGGGGATTAGGATGTGGACTTATTTGGGAAGACATTATTCTACCTACCATACTAAATAATTGGAAAAAGGTAAAATTATGTATAATGCACTGCTAACTCTGGCAATGAAATATTACATTACAAAAAGATCTATCACAAATTATTTTAAAAGGCTTTAGCTACTAGATTATTGATCAGTTGTGGTATATTCTAGAAAAATCTCATGTCCTTGATGTTAACCCATCACACACACACAAAAAAATGGTCTTTTTAAAATTATAAAGGAATATTCAAGGCAACCTATAGAATGGAAAAGGAACTATAGTTGTTATACCTCAAGAGGCCTGATTTCTGCACATTATAACCCTAGCAGTATGTACACACACACCAAATTACTTTTCAACACAATCTGGATGCTATTTCCCCCACATTTACCAAATGCTTTTATTCTCATCACTGTTTACATTAAGTCCTATTTTCTTTAAAGCTTACCTTCATTAGTTTTCCCCCCCTTGGCTACCCTTATTTTTCTCCTCTGAACTTGATTTCATTTCTTATGTATTCCATATGCTCACACACTTGATTATGCTCTGCTTTACAAGATTCTCTCATTTTATGCATACATCCCCCCCAACACACACACACAAGTTGCTTTGTCTGCATGACTTATCACCTTAGTCTCCTGCTCAAGTTCTGTCTCCAGCCTGAAATTTAGTATTTTTCAACTTGTCCTCTAATTTAAACTTCATAATGAAGTTAAGCCCCTATTTGAAGGAATAGTAGGGTTTCTGCCCCTAAAAGTCTGGGTAATGCACAGAAACACATTTGGGAATATAATTGACTTTTATGTACAGAAGCCAGATGCATTTCATGCCTATGTGTGCTGAGGGAAACAAGTTCATCTCATGTATCACAATAAGCATCTGTTCCACTAAATTCCACTGCCGGATACTCATCATACTTAGGCAACAAAACACTTAAGGAAATAAAAGCTCTTTCCAATAAAAAAAAAAAATACATCAGAAATCTCTGTTAAAAAAAAAAAAAAGTCTTCCTCTACCAGTTAAGCCCAGAGTAGGAACTACTACTAAAAACAAAATAATTATTGAAGTATAATTTCTGATAAGGCATCTTGGCTTCTACCCTGTAAAATTTAGAGAAAGTGATGTGTGAGTTTATATTGGAAAGGCTGCTTTCAACAGCAAAGAGTGTGTTCTGATGTTTGAATATACTTGGGAAAATGCAGAAATTTAAAAGAACTAACAGAAAACAAACTACATCGACATGAACCTGCATATACTTTTACAGACAGTTTTATAGTTTTATTTATAGCATGAATAAATTCATACTACAATTTTGTTAAAATATCACAAATATCTCTATATAAATAATTTCCTCCATTTTTTTAAATTTTATTAGCAATATATATTCTAATAGATTTAGTGTTCACATGAGTTTCAACATTTCCTGCCAAAGTACTTTGTCCTTTTTTTCTACTGGACGATTCTTATTGATTTATTGAACTATTTTTATGTCAAATATGTCAAATGAATTGCAAATACTTTTTCCTGATTTGGCATTTTCTTTTTATACCTACTCAGGGTATCATTTGAAATATTAAAGTTTTCTACTTTAACAAAGTCCAGTGCATCAATCTCTATTAGTTTCTGTCTTTGGTTGGGCTGTACTTAGGAAAGTTAATTTAGCCCTCATATTATAAATGATATTTGCCTATCGATTTTTTCTTTATATTTTGAGTTGTTTACCCAATGCCTACTATAAAATTAATTTTTATGGATGGTGTATTATAACTTTTTGCAACTATAAAACACATATAGCCAATTACTTGAACATTATTTTATGAATCACTTATTTTCCCACTGATCTGAAAGACTGTAACATACATCAGATTTTAAGTTTACTGAAATTATGTAACCTTAGGTAATTATGAAATTATGTAAATTCAAGCATAATGGCCAGCTTTACTTCTTCACCATTATCCCCTGAAGGGATGGATGGAGGAATTGCTTTCTTATGGTTTCAGTGTGTAACATAACGTGGTTTAAATGACATTTGAACAACACAGAAACTTTATTTCCTGGTTCTGAACTGTGTTTCAGCTTGACCAATCCATCCTGCAATTTGTCTTTAAGGATAGAGACTGAATTTTATGATAGCTACATTTATATTAGGTGCTCAAAAACATCTGTTTAATGATTAGATTGATAGATATCTGGTTTTCCATTGCAGTGGTGCTACCGCACTGAATAATTTTCACTGGCTTTTCTCTGTCAAAAATAAAACATTCATCACAGTTTTGCATGTGCCCATGTGCATGTACACACGCCCTTTCCAGAGACACACTGCTTCCCCAACATCAACAAAGATTGTAAGATATTTGTTCATTCCAAAGGTCTGGTCACAAAGAAAATAACAATGGAAATCCATAAATGTGAGACTGGAAAGAACAGAATATGGAAGATTAAATTACCAAATAAAACTTTCACCTTTTTTAATTTGTTGCTAATGGAGTGAGAAAAGTAATGAATGTAAAAATGAAAGTACACAGTGTAGGTATATATCACATGCACTCATTTTCATGATGGATATATGTATACAGATAAGTATGGGCAAAATAACATCCATCTGTTTTGTATTTATAATACACATATATGTACATACATACACAACAAATATAAACAATTTGCATAAAATTTCCATTCTATTCATTTCCTTAGCTAAAAACTGAAAAGCATTTAAATCAAAACCAATTCATTTAGAAGTGTTTTTAACCAATATCTCCCATTTATCCTCATTTTTATGGCTCCTTATGTTGCCATTTTATGTCAATTTTGCCATAATTTATACATATTTGAAACAGTCACCTTAAGAAATCAACCCTTTGGCTAAGATCTCTAAAACTGAATTTGTGTCAGTGTATGTGCATGCACAAATATTCACTTAACATAGAAAGGTCAATTGTAAAACTTTATATACATATATCAAAAAAGATAGTTCTGGGGTGCCTTGGTGGTGCAGTCAGTTGGGTGGCTGACTCTTGGCTTCAACTCAGGTCATGATAGCAGGGTCATAGCATCCAGCCACACATTGGTCTCAGCACAGAGTCGGCCTGAGTTTCTCTTTCTCTGTCCCTCTGCCCCTCCCCCCTAAAATAAATAAATAAATCTTTTTTTAAAAAAGACAATTTCACTCAGAGGTTTTGTTATCTATATATTTCATTCTGTTAATAAAATCAGTATATTATATATCTTGGTAATAAACCTGTTTGTTTTCATTTGCTTGCTTCCATCTGATCTGCCACATTGATATAATACATTGACAATCTGATACTTCACCACAGTAAATATAGTTATCAAAAAAAGCAAAAATTAGTGAGCTGCAAGAAAATATATTTTTTGATGAATCAATAATTTAAAGTTCTCAGTCAGTGGTACAGCAAGGTGAAAAAGAATGAAAATAAAAGTTCTCAAGGCCAGTGAATAACAATAATGATACTGTATTCTGTGCATCAATCACCATCACCATAAATCTGTGAAACCCATATTGCCAAATATTTCACATACAGCCTTAACGTTGATTAACAGATGTGCCGAAGTAGTGAAACTGAAATGAGACTTTGTACAAAAAGTGATATTCAAAAGCATCTTGAAAATTTATCATTCTACATCTGGAAATACTGCATTTGTCATTGTTACCTACACAAATCTTGATTTTATTTACCTAATATTTAGCAAATATGGTTTTAGTGAAAATGTTCAGATTTGGAGAATACAGTGTGTGAAACTGCTGAGTGATTATAAAAGAAATTTACAACAAATCCTGATTATACAAATTTGCCAGTAGTGGCAGCAAAATGTAACTTATAGAGAATGTCATTATCTTTCCCATAATCCTCAGAGCACTATCCATTCTTCACTTTAGATAATCGATGTACATGATCTAAGATTCTGTGCACCTGCCACCTCAGCACACACCCTCTAACCTGGCCTTCCAATCAAACTGCATCTTACAAGCCTTTCTGTGTAGGAGTTTAGAGCCACCACTAAAAATACATACTTGTTGCAGGTATTGAAATGCCTCCCTTTGAAAATTCAGAACACACTATCCTGAAAATAACAAATCTAATTTTTAAAAAATTGCTTTAGAACACTGTGAACTCTATGAAATAAAGTGTGCTGGGATTTGACAACTTTCTTCATTTCAGCCTATTTCATCTGTTTTCTTGTTATTTTTTCCCACGTAGTCACAGTTAACAACAATAGATTCATTGTTAAATTTCACTAATTAATTATTCCACAAAATAAATTATTTCCACCACCTTTCTGATGCCCCTACTCTTCTGGTTCCATATAATCCTGGATTTTTTTTGAATGAGTTAGCTTTTGGTTAAAAAAAAAACTGACTTTTATTCTTGAAAAAGCCATTATTTCTTCTTAAAAGCTTTCTAATGGCAAACATCCACTAGATCTTGTGATCAACCTAGAGAGAAAATTAATCATATTATTTTCATATCAGTTACTAGTAAGAACTATGTCATTTACTGTCCTCAAATCCAGTGCTATGGATAATAAGTTTTCAACCCAGAGACAGTTGGTTGCATGAGCAACATGAGGAAGACAACCAGCAGTCTTAACCCACACTGAGACATGTCCACACACACTTGCTTCCACAGCCAAAGTAATACCATATGTCCTCAGTGATGTGGGTGGGCAAAAGTAACAGTTGGCTTGCTAAAGAGAGCCATATGTACAGGCAGCCTATCACACCATCCTTTTTACTTATGGTTGCTGAAAGCTTAGTTGAAGTTCTTGTTCTCATGAATAGCATGGCTGGAGAAGATGCTTCCATACTAGAAAAATATCATTTATTGTGCAACTGCTATATCTCTGGACATGAAAGCAAAAATATGCTTGTACATTTCTCTTCTTATAAAGAGCTACGTAAGCATCAACAGAGTTCCTTCTCCCAATCACACTTTCGCTCACTAAAATGCTTTGTATTTATATGCAAAGGGACAAATGTGCAGGTTTATCAAAAACGAACATTCATAATCACCCTTGTTTAAGTCCACATTATACGAACCTCTATTTGTAGCTGGATATTCATACAATTATGTTGTTTCACATTAAAAATGTTAAATAAAAATAAAAATATTTTAAAACTTAAAAGTTTTTAAATTAATTCTGGAAAGCAAGGAGATAGTAATAAGCAAAACTGCATTCCACACACATTAACTTTTACAAGGTAAAAGAAAAACATGGGTTTTGGATGATTATCACAGCTTTGTACCTTAACAAGGGTTTCTCTGGAATTTCCACAACTGCAAAGATAATTCAGCTATTATACTGATAATAAAATTTATAGTTTTAAGGTCATTCTTAATACTGTGATCAGATAAGATAATTTACTTTTCTCCTAATGGCTTCTTTTTGACAAATGAGAGAGCTTTTAGGAAGGACAATGCTCCCTGCACAACAACCAGTAAAGCATGTCACATTCATTTACAACATAATTTTAAGAAAAATGAAGGACAAACTTGTGAGACAGTAAGAATTCATTTGCATTAAATTAATTTGAGCAGGGCATTTCATGTTCCCTTTGGCAACAATGGTATAGAGGAGGAAATAAATCCATCTTATACAACAGTTCCCTTCTTGATTACAGAAAGATTTGAAAAGTTGACATGACTATCATTAAATTTCTCCTGGAAGTCTACAATTAGTGTATATAACTCATGAGATAAAATATTCACAACGAATATTTGTGAAGAGCACCAGTTATTATGGAACTACTAAATGACATCCCCTTGAATACGTCCTGAAAAGTTTTGGCTTTGTAAACAAGAGCTAATTTCATAAATAAGAACTATCATAGATACTGCTCTATGTAATTTAAACCTCAGCCATCCAGATGTTGGCCTTGACAGATGATGGGTTTAATTAATATTTTTGACCCTAGAAAAACCAATGATTTCACTTACACTTTACTAAAATTAGAGATAATAAATTTAAGGGATCAGCATCTGTTGTTGGAAAATTATCCATCAATATCTTCGAATGGATCTAAAAAAACCCCAAATTTACATTTTTTTCCCACAAGGAAGCGAACACATTAATTTTCTCAAAGCACACAAATATTACTCCCATTTGTGGTAAGCTGAGTAATGCTCCCCAAAGATACTCTCCTCCTAATCCCCACCCCCTTCTATCCCTGTGGATGTATTACCTTACATAGTCAAAGGGACTTTGCAGATGTGATTGAATTAAGAATATTGAAATGGAGATCCTGGATCATTCAGGTGAGCCTACTATAATCACAACAGTCCTGGAAAGAGGGATGGAGGAGTTAGAGGAAGGGCAATCTGGAGACAGAAAGGACAGAAGCAATGCACCTCGAAATTGGAGGAAGGGGCCATAAGCCAATGATCTCAGACGGCCACTAGAAGCAGAAAAGAGGCAAGGAAATAGATTCTCCCTTCAGAGCCTCCAGAAGGAATCAGCTTTGCAAACGTCTCAACTTTAGCCCAGTGAAACTGATTTTAGAATTCTGAACTCCAAAATAGTAAGACAATAAATCTGTGTTGTTCTAAGCCATTCAGTTTGCAGTAGTTTGTTAGAGCAGCTGTAGGAAACTAACACACCATTATAATACGCAAAAGAAAGAAAAATAGTGATGAACTTGAGAGTCCTAGGGAGGAAAATAAAACAGGATGTTAAAAACGGGATTTATCTTGATAACTATATATGCTACTTGCTTATCCCTGAGCCATATTATTAATAATGATCATAATCACCCAATCAATATGAATCAACCAGTATGTCTAATTTAGAGATGAAAATTTTCTATTTACTCTCCCTATAATCCTATGCAGATAGCCTTGAGCAACACTATATCTGATGGAGCAAACATCTTCATGTAGGAATCTTCCTGTTTAGCAGAGAAGTTATATCTGAAATTAAATCCTATTAGGCCAATCTGGGGACAATATTTGGAATATTCAAATATTACCTTTCAAGAACACCACTAGGACTAAGTTTGTGATACTACTTTCACCAACAGAATCAAAGTTTATTTGAAAGATTTTCAAAGTAATACTATAAAATTATGCCTATTTTTTTTCCTCTTGTTAAAAATAAATCATTGCCCAACTCTCCATTATATTTATGTTATTTGGATTAAGTCCAGCCATAAATTATTCTACCACAAATAGGAAACCATTTAAATAGAAAAGTCTCACTTAGTGCTGACAAAATGACAGTACAAAACCGTCAAGGATGGGGGGGAGTAAGTGTTTAGTGGGATAAATATGTCCCTTTTCTTATCAGAACTTGTTCTGAGACCTAGCTTGCTTCCTTTCACAGGCTTAAGCACAATAAAACTTGTGAGAATACTCCTACTTTTCCAGAGTTTAATCAGAAGAGAAGTAGGAGATGGAATGTTTTGTGCAGGACTGACATTGAATCTGAGGGGAGAAATTAAAAACTTGGAAATAAAATGTAGAATATCCCCACAGTAGCATATGGGAGGGCAAGAAAAAATACTTATTGTCTACCATCTGCTAAGTCCCTTACATAAATGACTTTATCAAATTTCTTTAATGTACTTCAAAATGGGCATTTTATTCACAATTTACAGATATAGAAAAGATTACAAAAAAGGGATCTTAATCAATGCCACACAGCTAGTAAAAGGCAGAATTAGGGTCAATATAACAGCAAGAATAACATAACAGCTTCACCTTACTTGGACCTGGAACTACACAAAGAGGCAAAACATGAACAAAGAACCTATAAATTAGATACTAGTAATATACCCATTTCACAGAAGAAGCATCTGAGGTGAAGAGAAGCTACACCACTTGTTTCAAGTTCAAACAGCTAGCGAGATACAATTTCAAACCCAGGTCTGCAAGACACTTTATTACTCCAAAACGTATGTGCATTATTTCCAGGATTAACTGTGATAATTCTTGTTAACTCTGAGTGTCCAACAATGAGTACGCTACAATTTATCCTTATTCTTATTGAGTTTGAGAATTACTAAACTTCTTCCCTTGTCTTTTACCATTTCACTATTCATTCACATTACAGTTATCCATGAAAAATAAAGTTCAACATACACACCCTTTCTAGTTGAAAATTTTGTAGCTCAAGTAATACATAGTTCATCACACTAAACTGCTAGTATTGTGTGAAATGAAAACAAGGAAATTTTTCAGTCAGCAAAAAATAATTGGATTGTTCGTTCTTTTATCTACAATATAGTTCAATAAATGTATATTTGTATTAAAAAGCATAATTTTCTTTAACTCTTCCTATGCTTAAATAATACATTTAAGGAACTGGTTTGACAAATCAGAATAATTCATGAATTATACAAGAGAAAATTTTTGTTCAGTGACTTCTGCTTTTTCTTTCCTATCATGTAGCCCATTTTAAGAATCACAAATTTGTCTTAAAGTCAACCTTCTAGCTTTGTCCCAGTTCCTCTACTTTCTCTTAGTTTTTCTTAAGTGGCGAATAAAATGTGTTTATCCAAAGTTACCTTGGCATTAAAACAATGCAGTGAAAACTGTAGTTGTCAATCATGTCCACTGTTCATACATCTCCAAATTTTTCTTCAGTAAATCTCCTCTAATACTCCTTATGTTATCAAGTGTCACCTCGAAAGGAGATAAGGAATGAATCTCATAATGTAAAACGTAACGGGTTCATTCCTCCCCTGAGTATCCCATGCCCACTCTGAACTACTCCTGTGAAAATGAGCAACTAAGTGAACATGGCACTTTTAGAAAAACAAAGTCCAAAATTCAATCTATACCTCTTCAAATTTTTATCCAAGAAAGCATGACCCAATAGGTATCTTATATGTGAAAAAAAGAACACACTTTCATCAGTGAATGTTCGTGATACTCCAGCGTAAGAATCGTTGCTGTTCCACCCATACCTGCTTAGCACTCACTGTTCCTCATGCACATAGGTCAGACAACATCCAGGGCTAAGCAGTGACTCTGCCACTGGGATAGGAAGAGACAGGGGGGAGAGGTACATCACCAGAGCTGTCTCAGCCTATGCACAGGGTTGTCTGGAAATTCTAGGGCATTAATGTCCCCAGTTCCTGGAACAGTCCTTAATCAATGATGTAAATCACTCTTGTCCAGGAATGTTTGTAGATAAAGATGTATAATGGCCCTCACCCTTTCATGAGGGAGAAAATGATATATCTTTTCTTCTTATCTTCCTCTCTCCCTCCTTCCTCACTCAGCTAACCATCTATCTGGAAGAATTGCCCAGGAAGAGAAATAAGGCTTTGGTCAGCACTCTCAAGAGGACTCCTTCCCTGAGAGGTTAAACAATGATGAGCTTCATACAGACCCTGCTTGAGCTACTTTATAGGATCTGAGAGGCTTTGAGGTTCCAGAAAAATTATAAGCCATCCTTTTAATACCAGGACATGGAGGGAATTGGTGGGATGGTCAAGAGCCATAGAACTTATCATCCTGATTCATTCAAGAATACTTGAGCCATGGGTGTACATGGAATCCTGCAATCAGATGCAAAGTTAGTATACTAACTAACATATACTTAGCTCCCATATATAACTATGTATATTAGGTCTATCACAGGAAAAAAATAGTTTCAAAGTGTATGAGACTCCAAGAAGTATTTATTGCTCTTGCTCACCTTCTTCCCATACCCCTAAAGGCTCTATTGAGCATGTAAACACATACAAATGCATCCTCCTGCAAAAAAAAAAAAAAAAATCACAAACTGTCTCTGTAACTCAAATGGCTTTCTAAGAGTTTAAGTATAGCGGATTATTACCACTTAAGAATGAAAATGAATAAAAAAGCTGAAACAAATTTAAAGGTTTTTTCCTTCTCTCTCACTCAAGAGTTAAAATGAGGTTTCCTTTGAATCAGTCCATATCAGACAAAGCACCCATGGCATATATAAAGATTTAATAAATTTTTATGAATGTGGTCATGTATCAAAAAATAAAATTGTTTGGTTTCTAACTTCCTCTTCTCATAAATCCTATGCAGGCATACATTACCTGCCAGTGTTCAAGGAATCTTAAAGACTATTACTCTCTGTGAAGTCTGATAGTTTACTCTGAAAGCAAGTTGTAGCTATGTTTCAAGTTCACACTAAACAGTTTTAAAATGCATCTAATGTGGACTGTCTTCTATCTTGATTATAAGACATAAATTATTCCAAGAATACTGAGTAAATATTGAGTCTGCCTTTCAAATCTACTCTTATAAAGGAGAACACACGGTCAGCTGTAAGAAGTTTGGGAGTATTTGAAAGTGAAGAGCATAGAACTCTGCACAATTAAATTTTCTCTTATGTAAAAGAACAAAACCAGTTTTAATAAATAACCAGGATAAAAGAAGCAATATTTTAGGTATTTTTACAAAAGGCATATTCATATATCACTATTGTAATAATTTCAACTAAAAGCAGCTGTGCAATTTTTGGGAAAAGCATTGAACTTGAAGTTAAATATCCTAGGCTTACATTTCTAGTTTATTACATAACAATTGTAGAGATTTAGGAAGATTAATCCCTCTATATCATAGTCTTTTCACCTGAAAAGTGGAACTAATATTACCGATCTTTCTAAACTTCTATAAGAAATTAGAAATGGAAGAGATGAGAAAGAACCAGGCTCACAGTGGCAGACAGGAAGGATTTGTTGAATCTAAGCTGATGTTAAAGGGAGAAGAAAAGTAAAAATATTACATCTTAATTGCTAAAACTGTAGATGCATATATCTTAATTGAAAAGCCAATAAGCTCTCTTAAGCATACAATGACACCGGACCCTTGTAGAGAATTTAGTAAATATGTGAAAGATATAAATTTTATCTCTCAATTTTGGTTCTGATACTTATTTGCTAAACTCATAATTTATATTCTTCACTATTATTAAAATGCATGGTAGCCCATATGACTAATTGTATGCCCACCAATTCTACTGAAAAGCATCCAGCAAGGCCCATAAAGTAAGTATTGAATTCAAAAACAAAAATAGCTACCCCAACCACCTAAAAGCAAAACATTTAAAAAAAAAAAGTCATGATCATGATGATTAAAAGTTAGTGCTACTAGCAAGAAAGCAACCTCTAAACTAAATAAACTTGTAATACACCTTAGGAATTTTGCCTCACACACACACACATTAGACACACACACAAGCAAAGTGAAGTAATTAAATTAAGGAAGTTCTGTGGGAAATGTCCATAATTTCATTCCCAGAATTTCTTCAATCCCTTTCCCCAAAGTCCTGTCCAGAAAATAAAGTTGCTCTTCTCTTAATGTGAACTCATCACTTTTCCCATAACATTTTCAGAATAAGAAATATACTTCCTGTCAGTCAGACACTTAAAAGTTGTGCTGTTAAAGAACTACTGGTAATAATTTTGGAACAAAGGCTAAAAAGGAGATGAGTGAATCAACATGGCTTTTAAGCTAAACTGCCATCACCTTTCAGAGCCTGTCTAGAGAGCCTGAAGTTCTCTGCCTTTTTGTAAGCTTGTGGAGAGTCCTGAGGAAAGAACCTCCCAGTCCTCAACGCTCACCGTCTGGTGAGTCAGGGTGAAAGGAACCCCGCTCCCCACCTGGAGAGCAAGGGTGCCCTGTCCCAGTGTATATCAGGACTCCCCAGCTCCACACTTGTCCCGTCCTTTGACAAGACTTGTAAAATTGGGCAGGAACCAAGGGGAAGAAGGGACAGCACCAAACCGGCAGCCGGAAAAACAAACGACTGCCTTGAAAGCTTACAGATAAACACGTATCACGCACATATGTGGGGACATTTCCTAAAATCCAGTCACTTCAGCTTAATTCCATCCGAATCCCCTCATCCTGCCTAGGATCGAAACTGCCCACCGCCCATCCTCCCGCCCCCAGCATTTGCAGCCACGCCAGAACCAGTCTGTCATGACTGGGTAATGTGTAAAGCCAGCAGCGTTTGGGGAGCTGAGCAAGCTCGTCAATTCCAAGCCTCTAGTTCGAGACCCCTCCGTACATCGCTCTGCTTAACTCACCTGGAGTCGGGTCTAGAAGGCAGCCTCCGCCCAGAGGGACGGGGAAGCAGCCCTGAGAAGCTCAGCACAGTCCGCCTGAATAATGGAAGCAAGTGCAGCCGAGCAGCTCCCCCCTCCCCGGACCTGCTGCTCTAGCTGCTCCCAGATTTCTCCCACTCCCCACCAGAGCTGTCCTTCCTTTCTCCTCCTCCTCCCCGCCTGACGCTAGTGCACTCCCTCTTCCTGGCGGTGGCGCAGAGAGGAGTCCTCCCAGCCTCCCTCCTCCAGGCGCACGAGCTGTCCGTGGTGCTAATGAGGAGACTCCGGGCTCCTCCTGGGCAGGCGGTGCACGCAAGCCCCTTCGTGAGACACTGGTGTCCCAGGAGCAGTGCTGCAGATTTGCCTCATGCAGTCACCGGAGAAATGGGCTATAAGAGGCGACCAGCTGTACCCTGCAAGCATGTAACACCCCCTTGTCAGTTTAAATAATCAATACCTTCAGACTTCTTCCTAAATAGCTCCAGTAATTCACAAGTGCCTAAAAGTAAAAAAGGGATTTGAGAATACACCTGTATTAACATTATTCTCTATATAGAGACAATAACTTGGCTAGATTCTAAGACTGAAAAGTCTAAGAAGTGGTATAAGATTCAGTGTGGTTATTTTGACACATCTGGGGTGTACTTGGGGCTCTTTAACCCAAACAAGCAATCTCCTAGTCATGATGACACAGATTCCTAAGGGAAGTCAATGGATACTTATTAAATGCCAGGCTCTTTGTTTAATAGCCTCCCTTTTCCCCTCAGTCTTTACCACAATTCTATAAAGCAGTATTAGCAACTCCATTTTATAGTTAAGAGGTAGAGACGGAGTAACTTGCTCAAGCTCACAGAGATCCTATGTTTCTGAACCCAAACAACAACTGAAATCTGTATGTCCCACAATCTATACCCTGTGTACAATGTCTTGCAGCATCTTAGACAATACTGTGCAAGTGAACCAATAAAGATAATAGAACTATCAACAAATACACACCAGGAGCCTAATGAATACCTTGAATCACTTGTGAATAGTCAAATACTCCCAGTAACAACAGTTCAGATGTATGCTAACTATGTAATTACTGACAAAATAACAATAGTCAGAATTAGAAAACGTAAATAATGTTCAAAATCTTCAGATTCAATTGTCAGCCACATGTGAGTTGAATTTTCCATGCTAAAAAAAGAGGTCAAATATTGGCTCTTTCAAGAAGCCTATAATGGGCATAGTCTCTTTGCAAGGGAAAAAGTCCTAGTAAACCAACAACACACTTGTTTCCCATTTAGAATATACAATTACTACTTAATATTTTTTAAACTATCAGTAGTTACTTATTTCAACTAACTTTGTATGAAAAATTCATTACCCATTCAAGCTTCCAGTATATTAGATAGCATTGACAGCTAAATTTACTTAAACCTATAGAAATAGAGTTAATAAAGTAAGTAATAAAATTGACTTCTTTACTAATATGTCATGATGTATTTCTTCCTCAGGCAAAGGATAAGAATTCCTCCTATAGTATGAAATACTATAATGAGTTCTATATTTTTCTTTGTAGAGATAGAAGTATTAAGATGTACAGTCAGATTTCTTATAACCAAATCTATCCTGATTATTCATCCTATGCTTCTTTCCAAAAATTATTCAAGAAGAGCTTTATTTCTTCTTATTTTCAAGGAAATGTAGGGGTAAAAGAGAAATCATTGGTTCACAGGAGGTGAGTAATCTTAAAGCAACTATGTCAATACAAACCACTAATTAACTAATTAAGAATAAATTTTGCTCATAAATAACCATAAAATACTATGATTGAGGTATGACTAACTCTGCATTCTGTTATTAATTTTACTATTCCTTCTAACTGAACATACATATAATATACTTATATTTTTCATCATACCTAAATATTTCTTGATATTGGCATAATAATAGCATATCTATCCTTCAATACTTAGTGTACATGTACCCATAAATCTTTCTCTGATTTGTCTTGCAAGTATATTTTCTTCTTTGAATGTTAACCACACATTATTTGTTTTCTTAGTAATGCTTATCTTCAACTTTTTATAGTTCTGTCCAACTATAAACTCTTTTATCAATCACTTTACATAATAAGAGAACTTTTTCATAAAATGTGTTGAATGGACAGATTTATGTTAAATTTTCCTATACTTACAAAGGCCTAATTATTTCTCCTTAAAATTTTATGTGTATATATTTCATCTGTTCAACTAGCTTCTAAAGGAGAAGGATTTTGTCTGGATGTTATGTTTTTCATACATTATCAATCTAAAGCTCTGCACCACAGATGGGAGTAGAGCATTTGGTTAAAATTGATTTACTCTTTCCTTCATTTATTCAAAAAATATGTGCCCATGCTAATTTTTTCTAAACCCTCTG